TTGTCTATATCTTATTTTTATTATCTGTCCCTTTATCTGTGTCTCCCTCCTTCATCTATTTCTGGCTCTCGATATCTTTCTTCCTCTTTTTTTCCGATCTTGCGCTATTTTCTTTCTTTCCTTACCTATTTTCTCTCTTTCCCAAGTTATGTTCCAGTAGAGAGAGTGAGAGAGAGACAGAGCATGAACAAATAAAAACAAGCAAAGCGAGAAAGAGAGAAGAGAACGCAGCAGCAGCAACAGATGAAAGATAGAGATAGAGAAAGAGAGAGAGATTGTCTCCCACCCTCTAAGTCTTAGCCTCTGGAGTGAAACGCTTTCTCTTCGTTACAATATTTTTTTGCGACAAAGTTTGGGAGTTACAGAAAAAAATACGCGTTTGAAGAGCGATGAGCTCAGGGTAGGAGACGTAATTCGATAAAGGTGGCTGGAGAAGTGGGCCGAGAATCGATGTAAGGGAAAGGGAGGATGGGGGGTGAGTGAGAAGGAGGGAGAGGAGACGGAGGGTGGGAGAAGAGTCGGAGGGTGGGAGAGGAGACGGAGGGATGGCGGGACGGAAAGACGGAAGGGGACGGAGAAGGGAAGGAGAGACGGAGATGGGAGAGGAAAGGACCATGAAAGGGTAGGATAAAAAGAGATAGAGGGAGAGAGAGAGAATTTAAAGAGAGAAAATGAGCGAACGGCAACGAAAGAAGAAGCAGGTATCGATAGAGTGTCAAAGAAGGGGAGTTAAAGGACATAGAGCTAGTAAATGAGAGAGAGAGAGAGAGAGAGAGAGAGAGAGAGACATAAGGAGAATTAATCCTCTTACAGATCAGTAGGTCAGGGCCTCAGGTGACAGCTCAGAGTAACAAGGACGTGTGTATGGTGGCACTGGCATGGCACCCTGCACTACCTGACTGTTGTCTATGGGTCACACGCCTCTGTTGGACACACTTGACATATGCCTGTCTATCTCTGTCTGTCTCACACGCCACACACCGCTAATATTGATGTCTGTTGCCTTGTCCTACAGTTCACCTTTTATTTTATTTTATTCCTTACATATACATTAAATCACTCATTAATACACATATAGAATGAATAATTTAAAGTTTGTGTCCCGAAAGGTAGATAAAAGAATGTGTTTAATCGCCCTTGTTACGTTACGACACAGAGATGATGATCGGCATAGCTGCACTCAAACTCTGCCATAGGTAGAAGAGCTTCCTCAACTCCAGTCACAGATGAGAATATAAAGTTAGGGATCTTATGGTTAGAAGCCTTGAACACCTGGGTTATGAATTTCAAGTGGGCGCCGCTTGAGGTAGATCAACTCGTCCTCATCTCGGGCGGTCGTGTGACTCGGTGTGAGGTTGGGAGAACGTCACCGTGATGTGGGTTGGTGTCCGACCTTTATCATAGCTTTGTGATGCCTCTATGTGGGGCCTGACAAACCGAAGCGAATCGAGTGCTGTAAATCTCAAAGAGAACGACATGGTGGTGGAACAGGTAATCACAAGTCCCGTGGCCAGCACCCCTTTCAGCGGAGGGGCCTCGCTTGCCGGTAGCCGATCAAAACATTTATATCAGGCGAGAACGTCCTACTTCATGTAACTTATAGGTTATCGAAGGCTAGGGAATCACTTTGCAACAGCGCTCGGTTCTCTATATCAGCGTTAGTGTCCGTAATTTGGCTGAAATACGGCTTCAGAATTCAAAATCTGGAGGTGTTTGAGATGGAGGAGAGCACCAGACTACGTTCAAACAAGCCGCGGGCCATTCACGAAATTCCAGGGTGGTAGATGCGAGTGGAGTCAGCCTCGCTTATGCCCAGGAGAGCCACACGACGGCGGAGTTACCGTCTAGTTTGTACCCTTATTTTGTAAATATTGCCGTGGTGATGACGCCAAGAGACTGTTTACCTTGTGTTGGCTACTTCCCGCTCCTCAATATCTCGCGAGACGTCGACGGTAACTGGCTCCTAACACCAAGGTGGGCCAGCTTGGACGAAGACTTATGGAATGGGAACACATCCATGCCATTCCATAAATTACATGAAAGTCTTCCCTAATTTGTGATATTTTTTTAATGAACCGAGTATTAGTGTGCGCATCGTATACTCCTGTCCCGGTTAAGTATTTTCAACTGGTCGATTAATTAAGAGGAGATGAATGGGTCTCACCTTATCGGGCGGTGTACTAACAGACCTGAATATTGACACACGTATTCCGCTCCCTAGATTGATGACGCGTGTTGGTATGTTTATTTACGTCGTAGCGGCCGTGTACAGTTTACCATTAAGTTGTTGTCAGTGTATGAGAGATCGTTGTGTGTTGCTGAATAAAGAAGCTTCAAAATTACGTTGAATATTTGTTCCTTTTTTCCTTTAGTTACAATTTTTTTTAGAAGAAGAAAAGATGCGTATGTATGTATGTATGTATGTTCCTTTTGATACACTTTTCCCCCCGTGTTCACCATCTTACAATCATTACTTCATTCATATTTCTGTTAACAGTAATATCCCTTTATCATCTGTTTCCTTGATACTAAATATTTCACAAAATCAACTCTCGGCCACAGGTTCCCCCCCCCCCAGATACCTGAAATACACTCACCAGGAACCAAATTAATTCAGAGTCTATGTACCTGAGATGTAAAGGTAATTGTGTTATACTTATTGGTTACCTGAAGCTGAGGGGGTATGTTGCCAGGACTCCGGTTGTTGTTGGTTTGACTCATGTAGATAGATAGATAGATAGATAGATAGATAGGAACAAGTAGATAGATAGAGAAAAATAAATAAATAAAGGAACAGGTAAAAACCAGTAGATAGAAGTAGACAGAGAGGTACGGTTAAAATTAGATAGACAAGTAGAGGCGGGTAAGTAAGAGAGAGAGAGGGGGGGGATAAAGGTGGAAGTGACAGAGACAGGCAGGGGAGGGATGAGAAGGAGGAGGAGGTGGTTTGGAGGGATAAGGAGCAGGAGGAGGAGGAGGAGGACGAGGGGCGGGGAGGTTGGCAAGAAAGGGAGGGTCAGGTTAAGTAGGAAGAAACAGGGAGGAGGAGACTGTGAATGAATGTCTTCGTTACGTGTGTGTGTGTGTGTGGGTATAGGAGGGATTTTTGTCCAACTGAAAGGAAGCTCGCATGTGTGTGTGTGTGTGTTTTCCCAAGAAGTGGATATGGGAAGAGACATGTCCCAATGCTGAAGGAAGTGGGGCGTGTATGTCCTAAATTGTGGAAATAGAGGAGAACCGTATCTAAGTAAAGGAGGAATACGTGTATGTCCTCAAAATGGGAATAAGAAAAGTTCTATGTCCCACTGGTGAAGGAGGAAGGTGTACATGTCCTAAAATAAAGATAAAGAAAATTCCCATGTCCCACTAATGATGGTGGAATGCGTGTATGTCCCAAAATGTGGATAGAGGAAGGATCCGTGTCCCACTGGTGAAGTAATAACGCGAGTATAATACAGTGTGTCCTCAGAAACTGTTGTCAGAGTGTCCCAGTGTCCCATTGATTAGGGAGGATGTGATAATGGAGGAACATTTCCTGAGACGAGATATGCTGATGTCCTGCTGGGAAATCCTCGGTGTCCCTATCTCGGTGATTTACATATGTCCTAAAGAAGAATGAAAAGAAGAGAAGAAAAAGGAGTGTATAAGAATATGAAAATGAGAAGAAAGAAAGAAAGAAAGACGAAACTGATAAAAAAATCAAATAAAGAGGAGTATGTAAATCCTTGAGAGTATGAAAGGACGTAGATGTGTTAAGGGAAGGAGGCGATGATAAACGTCAGAATAAGAAGAAGTAAATTAAAAACTGTTATACGGAGAGAACATGGAGACTGAATGAGGAGAAAGGAAGGAAGGAATAAATATGTAATGAAGGATAAATAGATGGATGCAGATGTAAAGAAGGATAGATAGATAGACAGACTACAATATATGAAAAAATTGATTGACATAAATAATTATATCGATAAATGTGAAACGAAATATAGATAAGTGAAGGTAGACAGATAAATAAGTATAGAAAGATAGACAGATAAAGACATTTAAAGAAAAACTAAAAGACAGACAGAAAATGAAAATAGTTGTGTCCCAGAGAGGAGTGGTGATGTCCCGGGATGGTCGTGGCCAGTGATGTCCCTAGTAGGTAGTGGTGTTGACGGTGGTGTCCCAAGGAGGTATTGGCGGTGTCCCAGGTAGTAGTGTAGTGGGTGGTGGTGGTATCAGAGGCAGTAAGGTAGGGTAGTAGTAGGGGGTAGTGGTGGTGATGGTTCGCTAGTGGGGGGGGTGGGGTGGTGGTCACAAGTGTGGGTCAGGTAGGGTGGGGTTCTGTGGTCTACAGTGTTTCCCTACCATCCTATAACGTCCTTCAGGTTCCTATTAGTATTTTTCTGAATCAATTTTTTTCCTTTCTATTAAGTATTTTCTTTTCTTATTCGTTTTATTTATTTTTATCTTTTATTTGTTATGGTAAAATAAATAATTGTCCAAAGAATATTCCAATATCTTTCCCACGTGTGTTAATGTAGTTCAGATGGCGCCTTCATAATTTAATATTTTTCAGGAATGTTAGTCATATATTTGTTGTGTTAGATTTGTAAGATTATTATACATTTTTTTTAGATTCTCCTCATTATCTTTGTATATTTTTCATTAGTTGTGTATAAATAATTGTTTTTTTCATCTTGGCAACTTTGTGTTTATCTATAGCTCATCTGCTAAGCCGTGGGAATGTTTTCTGAGGCATTTACTGAGTCTCATTCATTTCTCTTCTCAGTTTAATGTTTCTTTTCGTTCACATTTATTTTCAACTGATATTTTACCTTATAGATAATTTCATTACTTTGTCCATATACATATATTTGTACCATATTTATATATCATTTTTAGAGAGTTTTCCCTTATATACATCATGGAAGTAGAGTGGTATTTATTTATCATTGCATATAAACATAAATGCTCAAGAATTAGTTTATTTAATTCAAGGTCGTAAAAATAAACATATAACAAATCATCATTTTATTTTTGTAATTATTTGATTTTATAAAAATACCCGTTATGACTCATGAGTTGAGCTCAATGTAACAGCTAGTAATTATCACACTTTGGCCATAGATATCACGATTTATACATATAAGTCATGTTTATACATTATGTACAGGTGAGACAGCAAACAAGAGCGGAGCAACACAAGCTACAGGTAAAGGGAGTATCGTCATCACCAGCCACATCGCTACAACAAAGGCCGTAATGTGAAGGCACTAGACCACCTCTCACTCAAAGTGTTGTTGACTAGACTCAGATATACGTGACACACTCCTTGACTCTCGCCCTACGCTACCACACCCTCACCCCTCCCTCCTCCTCCACACACAACTGTCAACATGAGGGTGTGTGTCTCACTTCTCTCTCACACATAAACATGTACCTTTCTCACTGTGCACGCTTAACAGTTATAGATATATATACTTTTATCTTTCTCTCTCACTCAAAAAACAAAACATTTAATACATATTTATATGAAATAGGACGCACTGACTGCTGGCTGGTCGAATGTTTGTAACGTGGTGCCAGAGAGAGGTCGACGCTGTTGACTGCTACAGTGCAGCTCCTGTGGGATATACTGACGTCGCTCGAGCTGCTGTTGCTGCTGACGGAGGTGATGGTGGAGACTGTGCACCGATGGCAGCGTGGACGGGGGCAACGCCGGCGTCGTCTCGTCAATGGAGGCGTAGATGTGAGAGTTGCGGGCGGCGGCGTAGTCGATGGACATGTAGGAGTGGTTAAGACTTGGGGCGAGGCTGGACTGGGTCGTCTCCACGCTGACGAAGGTCTTGTCTAGCTCGCCAGGGTCACTATTTATGGACGGCTGCGTCTGGTGGTAGTGGTGCTGCTGGTGATAGTGAGACACTGGGGTTTTGATGGTGTTAGTAAGCACCATGTTGGGCACCAGCTGGCCCTGTTTGTTGAGGGTGTGAGACGGCGTCAGCACCGGCACGCTGTTCCTCATGATGTAGTTGGTCTCGGTGATGTAGCACTGGTGGTTCTTGTTGGCTCCCCCTGGCAGAGCAGCGTGAAGCTTACTCCAGAAGGACTTATCTTCGTACTTCAGTTTGGTTGCACTTTTGACAATGGCTGCAAGATCAGAATCCATGTCACTCTCGTTCACATCACCGCACACTACGACTATTACACGATTTTTAAGGCTTTTCAGTGCCTCTAAGTGGGCCGCCTTGAATGAGAATTTACACCAATCGTGATCAACAAAATTTTTAGTTAGGACTAGAATTATCTTGTGACTTGACTCTATCGAATGAACAATAAAATCGCCCACATATGTACCTACAGTTTGATAATCTCTGGATGCAAGACACAGTTTATATGAGGGATCACCGTTCTCCAGCTCCGAGGCAAACACCTCCGTCACGAATGGAGCGTCCATTTCACTATAACTGACGAAGGCGTCATAAATCAAGTTCCTGTCATCCTCTTTGGATGGTGTGGGCTGTGAAGGGAAGCACTTCAAGCCACATTTTTTCGACACGCTGGCTTGCAAACGCACCCTGAACACTGCGAACACCACACCAATCACCAGAACCACAAAGAAGATGCCTAACGTAATCAATACTGGTTGCAAGAAGTCATTCTCAAGTTTCTCCTGCACGATGGACGTCGCCACGAAGTTTTCACAGGAGTAGGAGCTCTCCAGGACATATGGACCAGGATCTCCGGAGGAATTGGACACACAATATATTGTCTTGGCGTCCTTGACCACGTCCGTCTCCCGGATGAGCCAGTTCTTGAAGTCCACCATATACTGACACTGACAGGACCACAAGTTGACGCCCAGAATGACATCCTTTAAGCCCTTGTTGAGCTTCAAGTGCCAAACAGGGAAGTCAAACAAGAAGTTCCCGTCCAATCTGAGGACTTCAAGTGCTTTCAAGTCAGCGAAAGTAGCATTATTGATCACCTTCAGTCGATTGTTTTGAAGATATAACTCGCGAAGGTGCTGGAGATGCTCAAACTCGTAACCCTCGAGCTCAACTAACATGTTGTCGTGCAGATGAAGCTGCTTGAGGGACGACAGGCCATGGAAAGTTCTATTCTGGATCCTTTCAATCCTAGAACTGTTGAGATAAAGGGACATCATGTTCTTACGGCCGATGAGCTGGTGAGCATCGAGGACTGGCATCTCATTGTTGTCCATGAACACGACTGTGGCGTCCATGGGGATGTCGTCTGGGAGTTGGTGATGATTTCTAGATGAACAGTCGACAATGTTGGTGGCCCACGTCTCATCGTGATAACAGGAACAACCTTTGGGACACGTCATCTGACAGTCGCAAGCAATGAAGTCGCAGCATTGACAGAGAGCGAAGCAGTGAGAGGTGTAAGGACAGAGGAACTGGGAGGGTTGAGTCTCCAAGAATGCGACTCGGTTCTCCTCGGACCGTGGGTAAGGGAGCGTGCAAATCACCTTGTCGAGGTCCATGACGCGCGGGTGTTGCCTCAGCCCACTGATCTGGTGGACGCGGTGCATCCACTCCATATTGCAGTCGCAGAAGATGGGGTTACCGCCGATATAGAACTCGGGAAGGTCACGGTCCTCGGGTACAGGGGGAAGGTTGATGGAATTGAGGTCAAGTTTACTAAGGAGATTATCGTACAAGTCCACCATAGAAAGGTTATGTTTCTCAGAGAAAGTTCCAGCACCTATACGTGTAATTCTGTTGCTATTTACAAAAAGCAGCTCTACACTGTTTGGTACGGACACTCCTGTCAGCGTTTCTAACTGATTATGACTCGCATCAAGGGTCCTCAGTTGCAACTTGCTCTCCAGACTGAAATAATTCCCTAAATCACCAATTTTATTTTTATGAAGATCTAGGTACTGAAGCTGATTAGGAATGAGAGCGTAATCGAACCAAGTTATTCTGTTGTCTGACACGTTGAGCCAGAGTAAGTTAGACAAAGAAGCGAACAACCCGTTGATATCACTCATCTTGTTACCGTCCATACGCAGCAGCTGGAGGCCTGTGTTAGTGTCGAACACACCATGAGGCACTGACCCCAGCTCGTTACTGGAGAGATCCAGCACTTCAAGGTCTTCCAGTCCAGCCAAACAGCTCTTACACAACCCTCTCAGGAGATTATTAGAGAGGTCAAGGTGCCGAAGTGCTGAGAGGCTGGTAAGGTCATCTTGGGAGACACTGACTAGCTGGTTGTGGCTGATCCTGAGAGTTCGCAGGGACACAGCCTCACGCACAGCCTCTGGAATCTCCTGAAGGAAGTTGTACTCAAGACGGAGGTCTCGAAGACTGGTGCAGTTGTCGAAAGCTTCTGAAGCGATCCTGGAGAGATTGTTGTGGGCGACGGAGAGAGAAGACAACACGTGGAGACCCGAGAGGCTACGAGCTTCCACAGCCAGCAGAAGGTTGTAGCTCAGGTCCAACCGATGTAGATTGGCAAGAGGAGAGAACGTCATGTCACTTACCACTATCAGGTCATTATGACTCAGGTCGAGTACCTGGAGGGTTGACAGGTCGCGGAACATGTCGAGCGTAACCTGAGCCAGGCGGTTGTGACTGAGGTTGAGCACTATCAACCTAAGGAGGCCACGGAAGGTGTCCGCTGTCACCCACTCTGACGTGAGCTGGTTGTGCGACATGTCCAGGACTGTCAGCTGGTTGAGGGCAGCGAAGAGTCCCGGGGCTAACACACTCACACTGTTGTTCTGCATGTACAGCTCCGTCAGGCCCAGAGTCTCGTTGAACACCTCCGGCGGAAGCGCCACCAGACGATTGCTAGAGATGTTGAGCACGTTGAGTGAGGTGAGCCCTAAGAACGCTCCGTCAGCCAGCATGGACACATCATTGTACTGCAGGTAAAGTTCCCGCAGTGACTGTAACCCGGCCAGGCCAGACTCGGGCAGCACAACCAGGTCATTACCAGAGAGGTCAAGGGTGACCAAGTGAGCCCCGCAACTGCCTGTGACCCCGACCTCGGACACATCTTGAAGACGATTCCAGGTGAGGTTGAGATGACGCAGTGCTGGCAGAGGACAAAACACTCTCTCGGGCAGGTTCCAGATGTTGTTCTGTCCTAGGTCGAGGCGCTCCAGATGTGGCATCCCGACCAGGCTGTCAGGTGCCAGTTCCAGAGCCATGGCACTCCAGTCGCTGTTGTGGGTCCTCACTGACAACCGCTTCATGGCATCTAGGCCGAGGAAAGCACCGGCCGGGAGGTTCGTCAGTTTACAATACTCGATAGCAATAGTGTCGAGATTGTAGAGTCGCTGGAACATCCGCGGCTGGAGCGAGGATTGGAAGAACAACACATCACTGCAGAGAATTTCCAGTTCAGATATATGTTCACTTTGGGAAATGGTAAAGTTATTGCCGGCAAAGTCACTGCCAATGGTTCTCAGGCTGCATGAGAGGGACACTTCCTCTCTCTGAGCGTCGCGCAATGTCCAGTCACAGTTTTCGGGAGCATTGTATACAAATGTCGGAGAACATGCTGCAAAAACACTTGCGAGCACGTATAATGCCACGATAACCTTCATTCTGGTGGTAGGTAATGGTTACCACAGATTCACAATGGTTCGTGTTTGGTTATGTTAGCACAGCTCGATCATGTCAGCGGAGTTCACAAGTGACCACGGGAGATAAGTGGTACATCCTCCCTCCGACAGCGCGAGATATAAACTAACTGCTGGACCACACTACCACCCGTACTTGTAACTTGGGCCGCGACCCACTCGGTTGCCGTCGCTCGCGAGACATCGTAATTTCATGGCTAACTTTGTCGCGAGTTGCGGCCTCGGGATTTGTTAACATCGATTCCACTCGAATGTTTTATGTTTATTTCTTCTCTCTTGTGACAATATAGCGTTTTCATTTTTTACTTTTTCGTAAATACACGAAATAATATATCGTTAGTTGCTACGTCAGCCACCAGGGCGGCGCCACCAGTCAAGAGACCGAGGGTCAAGGGGAGGAGCCTAACAGGACCAGACTCCTGCCAAGATGAGATTTTTAAGGTGGAGGGGAGAAATTTCCTCTGTCTTCCAGGATCAAAACTCATTTATTATACCCAGAAAATCCTCCAGATGTGATGTCGAAAAATTCTGTCAAGAGAAAAGTACCGAGAAACTCTTAGACGGACAAAGTGAGTGCAACGCATCACTAAACCCCCCCAACACCACCAAACTATTACTTATATTAGTGTCCCTTGATGATGTCTTGGTCCATCGTAACCCAACTGTGCCTTATACTTTAGGAATATCCCATGAATTTACATAATATTGACGTAAATGTAAATAAGATGTAAAGCAATATTGCCTAAACTGAGAGGGCGGAGCTACTGTGTTTGTTTGGAAGCTGGGCACGGCCATACCCAACACCGGGTAATGTTATCATTTACCTAAAACATCTTAGTGAGACATTCATATTAATTATTATTCTTCAAATCCATCGACAAATCCCTAACATAAAAAAGAATTTTAAATATTACGCATAAAGTCTCAACAGGGAAAGAAAGCGAGATATAATATTGAAGAAAACTAGGATGGCAGGATGGTCAGTGGGTGTATGGGCGGGACTCTCTCTGTTCCTCCCTCCCTCTCTCCCTCTCTCTCTGTTCCTCCCTCCCTCCCTCCCTCCCTCCCTCTCTCTCTCTCTCTTCCTCTCTTGCCTCCCCCGTCGCCATGCCCGCCAGCCCACACCACCACCAGTTGGTTGTGGTCACTGGTAGTGTAGGTTCAGCTGACCGCCGTCTGAGTCATGTGGATACAGTGATTAAAAAGAAATAATAATAATACCTTTTTGCTGTAATTCCAGTTTCCTATTTGAGAATAATATTTTCCATCTTGCTCTCATTATTATTTTAAATTTCGTTTGCTTTTACGAGTTTTTACGATCGATAGCGTAACGTTTATTAATATTATTTTGTGATTTTAAACATCCGGTATCAGTGTTTGGTATAATCTCTTATAATATTCTGATCTAATATATCTTAATATTAACGTGATTTTAAACATTAGATATCAAGGCGTTTTGTGTCATTTTTAACTCCAGAAATCAACATTATTTTACACCCTATTATTTTTTTTATTCACAGCTTCGTCTCATTTTGCATTTTAATCGGATTCCGTTTATTTTACCACACATGATTCATTTTCCGTATTTCTCAATCGTACATTATTTCTGTCTCATCTTTAACTACGATTCTCTCTGTCTGGCTTCTGTGACGTTTGACAGGATCTCGAACTACAGACGTCAGTGACATTTTCCCACATTTCTTGGTTTGTTTTTTTGGGTTTTTTATCTACCTTTTAATTTGTGGGTTTCGTTTTTTATTTTAATTTATGCCATTAAACTCTTGACAATATATTAACCACATAAGTATTATTTCTATATTATTTATTTTACTATATTTCTTGGTTGGGTTAGGTTAGGTTAGGTCAGATTGATAATAATACCTTGGTTACGTGAATATATATAGCTTCAGTATTATTTGACGATTTCTTAATTTGGATTTCAATAGTTTCTCCTGTAATTGTATTTAAATCAAGTTGTTCTCGTCGTCTTAATGTTTACTGAACTTAAAACTAAACTCTGTAAAAATATCCTTAGAATTTTGGTTTTATGATGTTTTAAAATATTGGTTTAGTTTTCAAACGTCTATTATTTATTTATTGTTTTTGTATTAAATAAAGTTTTATTTCATTGCATTTGACGTCATTGAATCTGAAATTAAACAACCACGCTCTGAAAATTACCTTCATATGGGTATAATATTATTTTATCATATCTTCATTAATTTAGTCTAGTTTCTCTCTTGTTTTTATTTCTCAGGTTGTCCATGTAGCTTTCGTTATCTATGAAATAAATCTTGAAATTATTAAACAAAATCTATAAATGCTATTACTATTATTACACGTTTTGAATAAATTTTAAGTCTCATCTTGTGTTAGTTATAGGAATTGCGATTTTCAGTCCAGCTATTGTGACCAAAATTTTATCCTGACTTGTCTATATAAACCGACCAACGTGATACAATTTCCTGCCTAACAATTTTTTTTTCACAAATTCGTAGTTGTTTAGTAAGATCTGATTGGACACAGACCGCCATGCATTGTCAAGCTGGTCCCGGTAGGAGTGGATAAGGTTTATTCATGCGAGTGTTTAAATTTATATTCTACAACGTTGTTATGCTTATATTGGCAAGCGTTGTTAAGTTGGTTCATTCAAGCGTTGTTGAATTTATTTATGAAAGCGTTATTAAGCTGATATATATTACTTTAAGCGATATTAAGCTGATGTGGTAAAGTAATAAGTTTATTCACTATTCATTCAAGCTTTGTTAAGCTGTCGGCAAGCGTTATTTTTTATTGAAGTGTTATTAAAATGAAGCTGGAAGACGTTAATAAGCTTGTTCATTCAAACGTTGTTAATATGATGTTAACAGTAGTTGTTGATCTTGGATGTCGGGCATTCTGTAAGTTATTCAGGTAACCGTTAACAGAAGCTCTGTTAAGCTGCTTCGGGCGAGTGTTATTGAAATAATCCCTTCAAGCGTGGTCGTGGATTAACCTAACAAGCTTAGTCAAATTAATCCTGCTATCCTGTGTCACACCTTGTCACGCTGACCCCAGCAAATGATGGCAAGCGTTAACGATCTTATCTTACAAACGTTGTCGAACTAATCTTAGTGTTGTCTAGTAGCTAACCATAGCAAGCGTTGTCATTTTAATAAAAGTTTTCGTTGTCATATTATCCATCATAGCAAGCAGTGTCAAACTCAAACTGTAGGCATACTGTTACATGCTGTCAAGCGCTGTCCTTGTCATCCATCCTTATTCGTGCTGTCAAGCGTTGTCAGAATCTTCCACCGATGTCACATGATACGGGCAAATATCCCCCCCCCCTCATCCCGCTAAAACTATGAAAAACAAACAATACCAAATCATACAAACACACGAACAAACAGACACAGGCAGACAGACATACAGGCGAGTGAATCAGAGTAAACTTAACACATGGGAGGAAGGAAGGGAAGGGAGGAAGGAAGGGAAGGAAGGAAGGAAGGGGGGGGAGGAGGCGGATGGATGGGGATGGCTTGGCTCTGAATAATCCAAACCCTCCTCAGAAGGACTTAGAAATTCAACAGAGGGAGAAAACAACCCCTATTTGGCCCCCATCCACCGTCTCAAAGTCTCTGGAAAATAGCTCATAAGTATGGAACCTCTGAAGACGTGATTCGTAGAGGAACCTTTTGTCTAAGAATTTATAAATGTGTGTTGTGCCTTATTAGTTTTATTTATAGTTCAGGAGATAAGTCTTTGAGGTTTGGAAGAGAGAGAGAGAGAGAGAGAGAGAGAGAGAGAGAGAGAGAGAGAGAGAGAGGTCCAAGAGCCAAACTTTCGAGAAACTTTAAACATTACGAGCGTATCTGTTTACGATTTAGTCAGAAATAATGGAGCAACAAGGTGCGTGAGCCAATTCTTAATTATCAGCGTATATCTTATCTAACTGACTTATCAACATATATAAAGTTATAAGGACTATCTGTGTGTGTGTGTGTGTGTCATTATAACACCAAATGGTAGTATGTTTAGCACTGTTGACACTGATTACAGGTCAAGATTATTATTATTATTATTATTATTAAACTTAAAACAAGAATTAATCGTAAATGGCGTAAAAAAATAAAATATCATCCTCAGTTTTATATAAAGGTAATTAATCCATATAACAAATAAAAAGAGAACAATGAACATGATTACATTTCGCTGCAAGACATCACCTTTCGCTAAATCATATCTGCTAAAAGGTTTCTATCAGTGTTAAAAAGTTATTTCCTGCGTAATAAAAAAGTGTAGCAAAATATATATATACTTTCCTTCTCTGTTATTTACCTAAAAGATATATAGCAAAAAAATATATATATATGAAACTCGGTGTAGGATTTTGTATCGGTATAATATAAAGTATACAGGTAGAATGATGATATATATATATTTACCGTATGTCTGTCTGTCTGTCTTGTGTCTCAGGTGATATAGTAAGCATAGGTATTTATAATCTCAGGTGTTAAGGACTGTGTGCGTCTCCCAGGTAATATCCTCATTCTTAATTGCCCTTTAATGTTGGTTTATACAATTTAATGATTTTTTTGTAATCTAATGCTATTTTTAATTTATTTGTCAGGAAAATATACATACATATTGATATTTATGTATGTATATGTATGTGTGTATGCTGGTATTGTAGTTCGTTTATATGGTGTATGTATGTATGTATATATGCATGTATTTTATGTATCTCTGTATGTACGTATATATGTAATTTCCTTCAGAGAGATCCTGGAGTAATAGTTAGAAAGAAGGATAAAGAAAGCAATTTCCGGTTATACAAATAACAGTAAAGGTAAAGAGAGAGATCAAACACAAAATAAACTACAGTGAACAACAACAGACAAAAACAAAACAAAATACCCTAAAGCAAAAAAAAAACAAACAGAAAAACAATGACACACACACACATGAAATATCAGTTACCACCTTTAACCTTGCACTCCACTAAGCTGAATCTTTCTACACATCTATATATGAAGTGTAAATTTCTTCTCATTTCAACTCTATTTTCCATTTAGCAATTCATATATGGCAAATTTTCTCAGGCTGACATCTATA